TAAAGGTCGATAAGAAGGTCGATATAAAGAAGGTCGCTGGGTTGCTGGTTCGAACCCCGGCTCAGTTGACGTTTCTGTGTGGAGTTTGCATGTTTTCCCTGCCTTCACGTGGGTTTCCTCCGGTTGCTCCGGTTTCCCCCACTGTCCAAAGACATGTGGTACAGGTGAATTAGATAGGCTAAATTGTCCCTAGTGTGTGAATGTGTGTGTGGATGTTTCCCAGAGATGGGTTGCGGCTGGAAGGGCATCCGCTGCGTAAAAACTTGCTGGATAAGTTGGTGGTTCATTCCGCTGTGGTGACCCCGGATTAATAAAGGGACTAAGCCGATAAGAAAATGAATGAATTAATAAAATATTACAAAAAAAAAATTATTTTCTAGCCTACATAAATATAAAAACTATACTTTCATGCCTTCTTCATTTCGGGAGGCTTTTTCAGTTTATTCATAACAATTTGCTTTTGTATAATATTATTATTAGCAGTATAATTTATTATATGCATATTTACATTTATTTTTGTTAAAAAACAAGCAAGATTTCCCCACCTGTCAGGTTAAGACCATGTGGGGCACAGCATGTGTATTAGGATATAATTTGATCACATTTTGTTATCATTGTATATTTATTCGTTTGCTGGAAATTAGAGCTGAATTTAGAAATAGTTTTGAAACAAATATTTGCGCTTAACAAACGAAAATAATTATTTATAGAGTAATGGATGTCTGTGGCTACAACAAGTTTTCCCAAGCACGAGAGTAAAAGCGAAACTAATGAGGTGGCTCATCTCTCATTCTCGCGCTGTAGATGTTCTGTTTAATTGTTTTCTTTGTAGTGAAACGCTCAGTTTTTCCACTTACAAAGTCATCATGTAAATAGCAAATGCGCTACTGGCACGACACAACTGACTCTTAAAGGGAATGGGAGATGAGATTCTGATTGGTTTATTCTCAAAACACACCTATAACTGTTAGACCATGCGCCACGGTGCATCTTAAATTAGCAAAAGTGGATTCTGACATGCCCTCAATGCGTTTGCACCCTGAGCTCTACAAAATAGAGCCCGAAATGTTACAAAATAAACCTTAAAGGAACGCTTAAACCAGGGGTTTTCAAACTGGGGTCCGCGGCCCCCTGGGGGGCCGCCAGATGGCGCTAGGGGGGCCGCAAAGAAATTTTAGATCAATGAGCCCACATGGATGAATTTTGTGTCCTGCATCATTCTGAAGGTTAATATATTTTTATTATAATTTGAGCTCAAAAGTACTGCAAAAATGAAGCTTTATACTTATGTAATTTAAATGCAGTTGACACTTTCGTGACACAGGAAAAGAAGCGCAGCGGCCCGCCTCCGTGGACGGGGACTTTTATTGAATAAGCGCTTCTGGCCAGGCGCTTCCTGACTGTGATTTTTGGCGCTTGTCTGCTGCACCTGACGGAGTTTACCTTTCACTTACGCTTACCTCTTTTACGCTAAACAACTAAATGAATGCTCAGGTTTGACTGACTATATTTCAGTTAAAATACATGATCAATAAGAACATTATCGGTGGCTGAAAGCACTACCCTGTTTATGGCTTGCGTTCCTAAGTAACTGATCAGCTGGGTGCTGCGGAGTACGCGCCTCTCTGCGCAAGCTTCACTCATAGGAAACAAATAGCATTTTAAAGACAGGGCACAACATTGCACCTCGTCCACAGCGCGACAGGCTTTTACACTTTGCATTGTACAAATATCAGACTTTGCAGCATGGCAAACAAACATATTAAAATTGTAAAGCAAAAAGTGCTGCAATAACAATGAATGGAGCTGTCATCACATCAGCGAGTTTCACTCCTGTTACACTAATGACAGCTGGATGAGCTCTGCAGTGGACGTCTTACACACATTGGTTCATAACTGGATGATTAAAAAAAACTAAATTGTATACACACTGAGTAAAACCACTATAGCCTTTAAAAATTATAATGTATCTGTTTGTGTTATGTTATAGGGCTAATTAATTATTAAATATTAAAATGTATTAGTGCTCTGTATTTAATGGAGCTCAACATACCTGATCAAATTTTAATACTCTGAATATAAATGCATTTTTGTTCCACTTTTTCCCATATTTGTTTGTGTAACTAATTTAAATGTACTGTTCAGTATTATTATTAATAGAACAAACTGGTATGAACATTTTAAAGTCAGCAAAGCTTCTAAAATTAAGCAAAGTAAAACTTGTGGCTCTTTGAACTTGAATACCCAATTCTAGATTGCATTTAGGAAATTATTTTTTTATCAGTGCAAGTCAGGATTGTCGACCTGAGTAAATTATGATGTGCACAAAAAAAAGGAATAAAAATAAACAAAACACACTGAACCACTACAGCCTCCATTGTAGTATTGCTAGTTACAACAGTACAGTTAACTGTTAACAGGCTGATGAATGACAAAACTCTTTAAAACTTTAAAGCTTTAAAGCTTTAGATACATTTAGACTCTCAGCTGTAAGGGTAAATACAGAAGAGTCTAGCTGTGCATAGGCTGAAAAAAAAGCATAAAAATGGCATAAAAACTGTGTAAAGTGACGACTTGTACACAAAATATGGCTTGATGGAATAATCCAGTGAGAGCAGACCACAATGAGTACTGCGCATCAAGATTTGATCAATAGATTGAAGCACTAAAACCATGTCAACTCAACTAACATCTTACAAAAATTAATCCAGATAATGAATAATATAAATTTATTGAATAATATATAATAATATAAATGTATTGAATAATAGCCTACAATTTTAAAAAAATTAAGTACAGTTGTTAATTTGAGGGGGTGGCGTCATTTTTATTTTGTTGGGGGTCCCCGAAAGAATTCGCCCTACACAAAGGGGCCCTCAGCTGAAAAAGTTTGAAAACCCCTGGCTTAAACAATGCACAGCACAAAAAAAATGTGTTTATTTGCATGGCAAATGTTTTTGGGAGAGCCTAAAAATAAAAATATTTTAAACAGTTTTCAAAATGCTTATTTTGATTACGATGCAGTTACTTTCTCTCTGTAGGCTGTAAATTGTGTCGTTAAGTGCACTCAAACAAACAAACAAAATCAATGCCAGATTACATGTACATTCATGTGCATGTTTGTTTCTTCAACTGATGGCCTGGGCCTAAGCATCATGTACGTAATTAGTAAATAAAACAAATCAAAAGGCATATCTTATTATTACAACGTGTTTTCCAATAACTAAGTAGATCATAAAAACTATCATATGACAAATCCTGATATTACTTTCTTTTTGCCAAAAGCATCTGAGTAGATCGTAAAAATGATCGTACAACTGATCTTAGTCTTGCAACGTGGTCACCAAAAACAAGTCTAAGTATATTGTAAAAACATATTGTATGACTGAGCTTAATGTTACAATGTGTTCCCCAAAAGGTTTTGATTGTTGCCATCTGTACTCAACTCTTAAAAAAGAAAATATTTCTGACACAGTGTAAGCATACCCTGAAGTTCTATTTAAATTGTGTTGCTGTGGTTTAATTTATTTAAAACTTCTAAAATTACAATACGAATTTCATGGTTAACCAACGGTGAACCATTTTTTCTCAAAGTCAAAAACATTTTCATAATCGAAAGAACCCGTTCCATGGTAAAGATCCTTTTGTTAAATGAAAAGGTTCTATAAAGGTTCTTGGAACCATTAATGCCAATGACAACCTTTATAGTATATTTAAAAGCATGTAATATTACAGAACATGTCTTCGGAACTTTACTACTCAATTTTCTTTTTAAATGTATAACTATGAATAAAGACTTAACTTGATTTTCCAAGTTCAAAGGTTGTTTATAAATAAATAACACTTTGTGACAGTGAGCTCATTTCTCAGTGAAATCTGGCCCTATATATACTCAGTGGTTTACAGTCTTGCTGATTCTGGCTCAGAAAGAAATCAAACATGGCTCAGGAGGAATGCAAAATGCTAAGTGACAAACTGTTAAATTACAAAGGAACTGTCCTGACTGTGGATATCCGCCACGACATTACTCCAGAATATATTGACAGTTTACAGGATTTTGATGCAAGAGATGATGATGTCTTTGTTGTGGCCTTCCCAAAATCTGGTAAGTGTGTAGTAACCTATACTTAAATTGTGAATCTCTGCATCTCCCATAAAGTAAAAATCTATGTTTTCAAATATATTTTATAATATATAGGCCTGTGAAGCAAATTAAAAAAATGACATTTAAAAAATCCACAAATACATTTTGGGCACTTTTAGAATATATTTTTTTAATTAAACTTCTTGCCACTCTAATCACATCTATATTAGTTTATTTTTATATGGCAAAGGATATGTTCTTCATATCTCCATCCTTTTTGGAGAGTAAATTGAATTTCAAAATAAAAAAATTCAGATTTCAAAGTCAAGAAAATCATTTTAATTTTAATTTTGTTTCATGGAGGTTGAAATGAAGTGTATTCTCAATGTCAAAATGAGCTACTGTAGCTAAATGTTGCCTTGGGACTTTAATGTTTGTTGCATGACAGCAATTCCAGTGTATACTGATGTGACGTTTGCAGTAAAATCTCAACACATCAATTCACATAGAAATTATATGTTAACATTATATTAAAACGTCTGTTTATATTAAATTATATTATGTTTATATTATGTTTTAAAAAAAAGTTATGGGATCAGAAAAAATCAAACTGTAAACATTTTTTATATTTTAAATTAGGAAAACATTTTCAACATTTTGACATTTTAGGAAAAGTTTGAGGGTTTACATTATACAACAAGGGTTTGTGACATTTTTGAGCATCTGTAAAAAAACAGCCTACAAAAAAAATTTGAAAGGGTTTTGCTATTTTGGTGAAAATTGTTTTGTTTTTTTCATGGCAAGGTTGACATTTGCATGGAATTGCTCTTAAAACTCACGTTTAGCATTTTTTCCATTTTAAAAGCTCAGTGTATTTCTACAGTATATGCCTCATCATATGCATCGGATCATGACTTTAATATAGGATTTCCCGGAGAAAGCCAAACAAATCACATATAAGCAAATGCCCTGGATTGAGTATCAGGAAAAGGGAAAAGATTACAGCACACGTCCATCTCCATTCTCCAAGACTCTTCTGTTCACATTTACTGGAGCCGCTGATGCCCAGAGCTCTCCAGAAGAAAGGAAAAGTGTGTACAAACTTTTCAGTATAGATAGTTTTGAGGGCGCAATTTGCGGGTTTTAATTTGTCTTTGCTTTCAGGTCATTTATGTCATGAGGAACCCCAAAGACGTCATGGTGTCGTATTTAGTAGGAGCTACGATGAGATGTTAAAGAAATTCATTACAGGATGCAGTAAGAGCAATATTTTGCACAACAAATAGCTAACTATATATAATAATAATAATAATAATAATAATAATAATGAATAATAAAAAAATTATATAGAAATCTAAAATGTAGTGATCTTGAAAACACTAATGCTGTATCTCTTATTAGTGATTGGTGGCTCCTGGTTTGACCATGTTAAAGGATGGGTGACTAGTAAAGACAAATACAACATTCTGATCCTGACTTATGAAGAGATGATCAAGGTAAAACCAGATTGGTTTGTGACAGATTTTTCTTTCCATCAATAGTTATTAAAATCTTCTAAGATATAATAACATGAAAAAAATATCTTCCACCAGGACCTCAGATCCGTCATTGTGAAAATCTGTAAGTTTGTTGGCAAGAATCTGTCAGACGCAGCCATCGATAAAGTGGTGGAAAGAGCAACATTCAACCAAATGAAAGTAGACCCTGTGGCCAACTATGAGTCTGTTCCTTGGAAGATCACAGATCAGCCAAAAGGAGTTTTTTTGCGCAAAGGTAAGACAAAGATGAGAAATAAAGAGCTGGTATTTAAAGCCGTGTCAGACATTACTAAATATAAATGTAACTCATCTTAATTTCCTTTGGATGATAATGCAGGTGAAGAGTGTAAACACTAACTGATAAATACTGCTATCACCATAACTAATTTAAGTTTAGTAAGATACAGTTTACATTCTTTGAGTTTCTTTCATGTGATTGGAACAAAGAAAACTAAACAGAACATTGTTGGTGTGTGTGTGGGGGTGGGGGGGTATTCCTCTATGGACATTTGTTTTTTCCCAACATTTTTTAAAATATCTATTTGTTTTTGTTAGGAAGAAAGAGAAAAGCATTAAAAATAAATAAATACATAAATATTAAATAAAGTGACTGAAAAAAAACTATTTTAACTTTTTTTTTGCTTTTGCCATTTATTTTCCTATTGATTTTTCATTTATAGCAATGTTATGTTTGCAAAAGCAAATGGAGCATGTTTGTTTAACTATTTAATAATTCAGTTAAATTATTTAATTAAATATACAGTAATCTGCATACATCACTTACATACAGTTTTAATTTAGTTTAATTTAGTTTATTTTAATTTACATGTTCATTTATTTTGATAAATTAGAGTCTCAGATTTTTACAGAGGAGACTTTTCAGAAATCTGTTGTTATGACTCAATAATTCACAACTGTGAATTGTGTTTGTAAAATAAATAGGCATGTTAAGTGTTATACAGATTTTTTTTTTTTTACTTAATTTTTATGTTTTTTTTTATTTTCATTTTAAATTTGTGTTTCAGGAACGGTTGGAGACTGGAGGAACTCTTTAACTGTGGCTCAGAGTGAATGTCTTGATCGTGCCTTTGAAGAAAGAATGAAAGAGGTGCCTAACCTAGTCTGGGACATCGCACATTTTTGTGGCTGAAAACTCAAGTTGTAATTTTTATTTTGGAACAAATGAAGATCTAAAACTATCATACTGGTACTATCATACAAAAATATATAAATGCATATCACAAACATATCATTGAGAGAAAACTGATAATTGCTCTAAATGAAATTCTCCCAATATATTATCAGTTTTCTCTCAATGATATGTTTGTGATATGCATTTATATATTTTTGTATGATAGTAATTTTGTATAAATACAGAAATGGGAAATGAGTATACGATTCTATTTTTTTTTTTTTTTTGAGCAATAAATAACTGACTACAAGGGACTTTTAGTTTGATAGGCGACTCACGCGCATGCGTAGTTCGTCCACATCCAAGTTTTTCATGCAAATATTCATACTCACTTGATGTTACACACTACGTTTTGAGGGTTTTTTCTTCTGCTTGTTGATGCAACTACATCTCTTCTATAATGAATATGGCACATTAAGATGTTTTATTTTGCAAAAAAAATTATACATTTTTAAAAATTGTAAAAATCTTAGAACTGTTTGCTGGAGCCTCACTCTGAGTCTGAATAAATAGTCGTCTACTGGAGAGTCAAATGAATCAATTATTATCACCATTATTATTATGGATCAACAATAAATTGTTTACATGACATCAGGGCTGCACAATATATCGTTTCATCATCGATATCGCAATGTGCGTGTCCGCAATAGTCACATCATAAGATATGCAATGTTGAGCTGTATAATAGATGACCAGAAACCACAGGTCAAAACACATGAGATCTGTGCTGAATTTAAGCTCAATATAGTGAAAGTTAATTATCTGCATGTGTTTTAAGATGTGACCATGTAAGCATTTAAAGAGAGTTCAAAACATTTTAATAGAGCATAAAGAAGTTTATTAAAGATTAATTTAATTAAGTTTATGCATTGTTAATTAACATTTGATTATTCAATTTCTACAGAATACTGTTAGACTCTCCCCAGAAAACTATGAATCACTGTTTATTTTACTTAAATATTTGCTCTGTTTTGTTTATGACTGTGTTTTGTTTATTATATGTACAGTTGTAGTTGTAGAGTTATTTGCCCCCTTAGAGTTTTCTTTATTTTCTCAAATACTTCCCAAATTATGTTTAACAGATCAAGGACATTTTCACAGTATGTCTGATCATTTTTTCTTCTGGAGAAAGTCTTATTTGCTTTATTTTGGCTAGAATAAGAGCAGTTTTTAATTTTTTAAAAACCATTTTAATGTCAAAATTATTAGCCCTTTTAAACTATATTTTTTCCAATAGTCTACAGAACAAACCATCGTTATACAATAACTTGCCTAATTACCCTAACCTGCCTAGTTAACCTAATTAACCTAGTTAAGTCTTTAAATGTCACTTTAAGCTGTGCAGAAGTGTCCTGAAAAATATCAGGTAAAATATTATTTACAGTCATCATGACAAAGATAAAATAAATCAGTTATTGGAAATGAGTTATTAAACCTATTATGTTTAGAAATTTGTTGAAAATAATCTTCTCCAAAAAAGATTCTATTAAATTACTAATATGTGCTTAAGTCCAGTAGTGAAGTAAAAAAAAAAAAAAAAAAAAAAAAAAAAAACCTAACTGTTCTTATTAAAATACTATTCAGCATGGGATTATAGTATGTATTCATAATTAGATGTTACTTAATGATGGTAATACTTACTCATTAGATACAGTTACTTATTTATCATATACCAATAGGGCACTTTAAGTACTTCTTTTTCCGGCAATGGGTATATTAACTCTTGTTTTGTTATAGTTAGCTATAATGGATTTTGATAATAATCCATTAAGGCCCTGATGATTGTTTTGCAATTGAATGTATTTGTAATAGCTGCAACAACAAAAAAAGAACAAAGAAAGAAATAGAATAGTAACGAATTTAATGTTTGTAATGGGTAAACCAATGTAAGTGTTTTTTTTTTGTTTATTTATTTTTAGCAAAAATTCTGGTTTCTGACCTTTCTGATATTTTTGATAGTCTTCAGTTCCCCATAATAACCAGTAGATGTCAGCAAACACATTCAAGTCCAGATCATAAATCGAAATATTAGGATTTCAAGCGTGATTGTCAATTCCAAAATTTAGTTGAACTTGTCAAGCTGTTTAAGAGACCATCCTGTTTTATTTGTTTACTTGAGGTGTATGTACTAGTTTGTGGATCAATCTCTTGTTCTACTATGATTGCTTTACTACATTCTTATCCACTTTCAAAACAGCAAACATGACTTTTATGTAGAGGTTATCCTGGCACAAAGCCTTAATCAACACTCCTGAACTGCCATTATCTCGTATTTAAGAAGAACTACGTGACATTGAACAGTGACATTTTCAATGTGGGTTAAAGGGATCATTTGGCAAAAACAATTTCTGTAATCATTGATTTACTCACCCTTGACTTGTTCTAAACCTCGTTGAGTTTCTTTCTTCTGTTGAACACAACAGGAGATATTTTAAAGAAAGCTGGATACTGTAACCATTGACCTAAATCTGTATTTGATTTTGTTTTTTTCTGCTATGAAAGTCAGTAGTTCCATGTTTCCATCTTTTCTTTTTATTATCTTAGTGATCAAAAGAAGAACGAAACTTATAAAGGTTTTAAGTCCTTGAGAGGTGAGTAAAGGGTGGGTAAATTTAAAATTTGGGTTGAAATATGCCTTTAAATAACACCAATTAAAGATAAAGAGCAAAGATAAATCACATGAAACATTTTCTGCTGAGTCTGTTTATGACGGCTATCATGGTATTTCATTTGTCAACATAACTAGAACAGAGGTTCTCATTCAAGGGCCTTAGTCAGCTTTCAGGCGTGCCACATAATGACTTTAAAGTGTTTGATACTAAAATACTAAAACTAAAACTAATCTCAAATAAAATGTTACAAAACAAACCTTAAAGTTGGATCATTAAAAAAAAATACTTAGATTTGAAATCCTTGTAAGTCTAAGTAGATTGTTAAAAATGATTACATGACGATGTTACCATTAAGATTAGGGGTGGCCTAGTCAAAGTCCTGAGCTGAATCGAATTGAGATGCTGTGGCATGATCTTAAACATTCATTCGCTAAAATCCTCCAGTGTGGCTAAATTACAAATTTTCTGCAAAGATGAACGGCCAAAATTCTCCCACAGTGCTGTAACAGTCTCATTGCAAGGTATTAAAAATGCTTGATTAAAATTGTTGCTACTAAGGATGGCCCAACCAGGTATTAGGTTTAGGGGCAAACACTTGGAGCTACAGTATGTAGTTTTGGATTTTGTCTTTCCTTAATAATAAAAAACTTCATTTAAAAACTACATGATGTGTTTACTTGTGTTAGATTAGACTAATATTTATTTATTTATTGATGATCTGAAACATAAACGTGTGACAAACATGCAAAAAAAGAAGAAGTCAGTAGGGGGCAAACACTTTTTCACACCCCAAGATAATATTATTCATATATATATGGTGCCATGAAGAACCAAAAAGGTTTTCACAGTGAAAAAAAATAACTTTTTTGTTCCCTTCTATAGTTACATAAAAAAACGATTTTATTTAATGCAGTGAAGATTTCAATAATTTAAAGAATCTTTTCCACGCTAAAGAACACTTTGTGGGATGAAAAGGTTCAACTGGTGTTAAAAGATGGTTCCGTGGAACAATCAATGTCAGGCTAATTTCTGGCTAATTCTGGTGCATTTGCAGCAATGCAAATTATGTACACTCTCCCTGCCAAATATATAAATGAGGACCTTTACAGTAATTTTCAGGAGTGTGTGACACTATAGACCATTTTTTGTGAACTTTACATGATTCCCCCAGTTTAAAGGTTGGTCATAAATAAATAACCCTTAAACTCCATGTTGTGTAACAGCAACGATAAGCTCTTTTCTCAATGAAATCTGGCTCTGAATATAACAGGCTCTACTTCATGGTTTGTCTTGCTGATTCTGCCTCAGAAAGAAACCAAACATGGCTCAAGAGGAATGCAAAATGATTAGTGACAAACTGTTAAAGTACAAAGGAACTGTGTTGACTGTGAATGACAACCAAGACATTACTCCAGAATATATTGACAGTATACAGGATTTTGAAACAAGGGATGACGATGTCTTTGTTGTGACATTTCCCAAATCTGGTAAGTGTGTAGAATATACTGTAATTGTGAAACTCAGTATATATATATATAGATTTTTTTATATATATATTTTTTTAAATATGACATATAAGTCTAATAAATGTATTCCACAAAATTAATTAACATTTACAAAATTTGCAAATGCCTCGTTGGACATGTTTTGTGTAGTTTTAAGTCAATAAACGTCTTAACTGCACTGCTACGCTAACAGACAAAATCACATCTATATTTTTTTGTTGTTTTATATATGTTAAACAATGTATTCTTTATATCTCCATGCACACTCTAATTGGGGTGTAAAATGTCAACCTCAATGAACCAAAATGTTAAGGTCAAGAAAACACATTTTGACTTACATTCTGGTTTATGGTTTGACATTTAATATATATTTTGATGTCAAATTGTAGTTAATGTCAGTATAAGTTGAACTAGCTAAACGTTGCGTTAGGACATCACTGTTTTTTATATAACAGGAATATTTATCATTTTCCATATTAAAAGCTCAGTGTATTTCTTTATGTCTCTCTCAGGTACAGTATGGACCCAGCGGATCATGACTTTAATATACGAGGAGGATTTCCCAGAGAAAGCCAAACAAATCACATATGAGCAAATGCCCTGGATTGAGTATCGGGATAAAGGGAAAGATTACAGCACACGTCCATCTCCAAGACTCTTCTGTTCGCATTTACTGGAGCCGCTGATGCCCAGAGCTCTCCAGAGGAAAGGAAAAGTGTGTACAAACTTTTCCGTCGATTTGATTGTTTTGATGTCATGCATGCAGGTTTTAATAAGCTTGTTTTTGCTGTCAGGTCATCTACGTCATGAGAAACCCCAAAGACGTCATGGTGTCGTATTTTCATTTTTCCAACAAATTGGACAACCTGGATTCTTCTGAGAGCTACGATGAGATG